CCTTTTGCATTCATCCGTTCAAACTGTTCCTTTTCACATTTTCCCCTCCTGCGGATAGATGTATGGCTGTATTAATTAAGAAAGCATGTCTGATACTGTTATTTCTGGCTATGGTGTTTAATTTTAAAAAAAATTATGCTCCGTTTAAAGATCTGTAATTACACAGGTTAACATATGTTATGTCACATCAAAACCATTGTCTGAATTATGAGCGGTTCAGAACGAGCGCTCAGTAGAAGCTGCAGGAGCACTTTATTGGCTTGATTTATGTGATTGCTTTGCCTTTCCCGAGTCCTGTGGTGAGGGATCTAGATAGGCTTATTCCCACCTTTGTGATACCAGGCTGCATGCTTAGTGTAGTTAAGATTTGAGTAGTACCTGAGAGTAGTTTCTGTCTAGACTCAGATTAACAAGTGAGGAGTGGGCTGGGGGCATGCATTGGAGATTTCAACTGGCAGTTGCTTTAATTTGCTCTGCTCAAGGATTAATGTCCAGGAGTTGACTTAATGCATATATCCATGGGTTAAACGTGCTACCCGTGCTCTGGTAGGGTTGCTTCTCCATGGGAAGAGTAGCAGGCTGCTTGCTGGATGTTCAAATATGGAAGCAGAGAGCTGATCCTTGGAGGGATTTGCAAGATGTCTGGGGAAAAGCCACAGCATGCCGGGGGTGAGGTGGCGGCAGCGGCCGGGCCTGGTCCTGTACCGACAGGTGGCAGCTGGTAGTCAGAAAAGAGCATCTCTCGGAGAAGTAGCCCTGCCATCGCCTTGTTTTTACAGCAGTGCAGGCAGCACAGTCCTCTTAATTTCCATTGTGTGTACAGGGCATAGTAAATTTATTAAGGTAAGAATCTATAAGCATTAAGGTACCGATATGAATTGGAAAAGGACAGAAGGTGTAGAAGTGTGGTGAAACTGCATAACAAAAGGTTTTCTTTGCAGTACTGTTTGTGGCATATTGCAAGATCTCCACTGAATCTGCAAGGAATTTTGCTTTAAAACAATTTTTGGAGTTTGTTTAATTCAAAGTGTATGAACAGAGTGAAGTCAACTGCATACCAGGTCACTAAAATCCTTAAATGGAGCTAGTAGTGTAAAAAATGCTCCCTTCTCACCTGTCTACAAATACATCGATGCTTATGTTTTTCTTTCGTAAACTATTTATATCACAAAGTACTTGTTCAATCTATCTCTATTCACTGTTGGTAGAACTGCTCTCTGATTTCTTCTGCTATAAAAGTTGGAACTTTCTTAATCTTTAATTTTTGTCTAAGCACATTGCGTGCAAGTTGTTTGCTTAGATGTATGGAATGTGAGTGAAAATTGATATATCACGGTGTCTTTTTCACACCCTCCTTTCTCACACCCCTTGTTCTCTAAGTACTTTAATGGCTTTTTTCAGTTCAGTGTGTTTCATGAATCTGACTTGTCTGCCCAGAACACTTCTGCTAAGAGTTTGTTGTTTTTTTTTTTTTTTCTGCACTTGCTCCATTGTCTAACCACAGGTCCACTCGCAGGTTTTGAGAATGATCTGGCATCATCATAACAGTTGCACTTGAAATAGCCTAGGGAAGAGTGTTTAGGGCAAAACTCATGTGGTGTTGGAGGCTGAATTCTAAGTTGCCTTGCAAATATTTTAAATATATGCTCTTAGGACATAAACTGTGTTTAGCTCTGACAAAGCCAGAGATGTGCTTCTGAGCATGGGGCAGGTTTTGTAGTTTGTGAGCTACCTTAGTTGGGATGGTGATGCATGGTGTCCTGGAATGTGTGTATATTATGGGTCTTAGCTGGTTATTTGCCTGGATCTTTTGCCACGGGAGAGCTGGGTTGAAGTTCCACCTAAGTGCACGCAGGGTGATAGTTCAGGAATTGGCTTGAAAAGAACTCATGTAAATATGAGTACGTGCTTTTCTGAGTCTTGCCAATAAATGGATACTGAGATCTAACAGCAGCACTTTGAGCTTTTAGGACAGAAAATCTTGTTTGGGGTGAGTTACAGTAGGAGTGGAATTGAGTGGCTTCATTCTAGCTCTTGCTTAAGTTACGCTAATCGCACTTGCTCTGGTGAGTCTGCATCATCCAGTTTGACAAAACTGGCTCTGATATTGCCAGCGTAATGGGAGAAGACTGACACCGAAACGAGGGTATCGATACGAGTTGATGTGGCTTTTGTACTGCAAGCCTGTGGCACCATTCTGTAGCTGGAGTCCATGCGCTTCCCTTCTCTGAAACAAAATCTAGGAGAAACGTTAATTTCAGCAAACAGTTTGCAAGCAAAAAGCTTTTCTCGTAAGTGTCTATGAAATGATCTCTTCCAGAGCTAATGTGGAGCATTCTGAGTGTGGGGAGGCCATTGAGAGCCCTGGGTAATTGCCTTAGCCATTCTCTTTGTGACTTTGACTAAATAATATCCACTTCTGTATCTCAGAAGTGAATGTAGGTGTGTATCCATATTGCTGCATAGATTAGATAAATTCACAGTGATATTTGAAGCAAAAGCTCTAGCTTGGGCTGGCATTTTAGTGATTTTTTTTCTCCCACTGGGAGAGCAGTAAATAGTCTTAGATTGTAAAGATGGGACTAGAAATGGAGGTCACAGTGTAATATACAGGTCTTTTTTTTTTTTTTTACCTTGTTTGCTTTATGCCAGGCTAAGTATTTCATAGCAAAAGTAAATTTTTTGTGCAGTTTGTGAAATAAATAATAGAGAGATCCTGTTAAAATATGCATCATTGGCTGGCTTCCTTATTTTAATATTAATAAGGCAGGTTGCTACAATAAAATTAACTCTGCATGGTGTTTGTCACTGTACTGTGAAAGAAATTGAGCTTAATGCCATTCCTTCCCGAAATGAATCTGCAGGAGAGCAGTATTTGTGCTGTTCTGAAACCTGTAACTAGGGAAGTTGGAGTTGAACTGTAAATTGTGGAAGATGCAGATGTTAATCTGGGAATTCCAAGTCTGTCTTTGGCCTTGCAGTTTTCTGGCGGCTTATGTGAGGTGTTTTAGTGTTGTTCGCACATGTGTTTTCTCTGCTGTAGTGACTAATATCCACTTGCTTGGCTCATCATGTTTATGGACGACACAGTAATTGTATTTGTGTGGTTTCATAGTCCAGAAACCTCTTCTGGTTGGAGGCGAGAAAATCTGAACCATGAAGGTACTTAGCTAGGACTGCAGCTCCCTAGGACACAGCCCCTTTTGATTTAGGGGCATGGGGCTGAAGGCATCTGAGGAAAAAGCGTGACATTGCAGTTGGCACAAAGGAGATACTGCCTCTTTTTTTAAAGATGGATCTGTGCCTTTAAAAGGAAAAGCCCTTTACTAACCCTGTGCTCCTGTGATTTATGGCAATGCATTTATCTGAACCACAGAGCAAAGGGAAAAAACCTGTAATCTTGATATATTTTGTTATGTGACCAGAACAGCGTTTTTGTGCTTATAAATAATATGAACACTCATTGTATTAGAGGCCCTGTCAACTGAGGTGATACTTAGGTTGAAACAAGCATTAGGGGGTTATTTGAGCACAGTTATAGATACACTTCTGCTGAAATCTGCATTTAAGGCAAGATTAAACTCTTCATTTTACAGTTTGCATTTTTAGTTTAGGATCCACATTGGAATTACATTTTAAGCTTGGCCTGCCAGCTGCATCTTTAAGATTTTATTGAACATGGAAATCTGTGAAAGAGGGAAGCGTGTATGTTTAAATACCATCAAGGTCTATGGGTCTAAATATCTGTGTAAGTGTTTTCCTGAAAACAGTCGTGTTTCAAGTAGGCTTTTAAAATTTCTACTTTAAAGAAATGTCTTGAGAGTCTAACAAATTGGGAGACACTTTCTTAGATGATGAGCACCCATTCTGAATAGTGAGGCCTTTGCAGTGCTATGTTATTTCTACTTACATTATGCTGTAGTAAAAAATTTGGAATTGTGTATTGCGTTTATTGTATGCACTTTCTATAGACTGGTTGAAGTTGACAGCTCAGCCTTACTTTAAGTGGTGTTACTGGCATCAGAAGTAAAACAACCCATGTTGTCTTCCCTCTTTAATTTGCAAACTGCAGGAGTCTTAGCTGAAAAGAGAGAGAGATCTGTGTGTAAATGTGAATGATCTCTTTGTGCAAGAGGCTGAGGGAGGTGAAATCCCCCCATGTTCCTTGGGAAAGAGATACGACAGAAATGTCATGCTTGCTTTATGCCATTGGCCAAGCAGAAATTTCATCCAGAAGATGGTGGTGATTGTTTTCTGTTTGGTTTTTTTTTTTTCCTGCAGCAGAAGGGTGGTACGAGATGAACGAAAGGAAACTCTTGGCTTCTCCCTTCTTCCTTACAAATTACTCTAGAGGAAGGCAGAACAAGGCAAGACAGGTGATGCAACAGTAGCTGGGAGTGCCTCTGTGTACTTGTGGCCCATGCCAGCTGAATAATTGTTTCTTTTCCTCTATCCTGCAAGAAGCAAAATGCTGGATGGAGAAAAGAAAATAGCTGGGTAAGCACAGGCCCACAATTTTGTCCCTATATAAGGCATTGATTTAAAAAATAGGGTCACTGAATACAGCCTGCAGCACTTTCGGGAAGACACTGGAGGAGCTAAATCTGTTTTTTATGTTCTTTGACTTATTAGAATCTAGTCAAAATGTGATTTTTTTTTTTTTTTTTTTTTTTTTTTCCCTCCCATCTGGGTAAAGAACATGCTTGCTGTCGCAGGAACACTGTGTCTTCCTGGGTATGGAAAATGAAAGACAGGAGAGGAGACAGCTCACCACGTCGTAGCTGAGAAGCTGATATTTATTCCAGACTTTGGTACTCGTTTAGGCTGTTTGAGTCCTGTATTCTAAAAGATTACAATTATTCTCTACTGCTGGAACTTACTTTCTTTTTGGGGTATTTTTTCCCTCTTTGGCCTATTTGCCTTGTATATTCTTTACTACAGAATGATTTGGAAGTGTTGAAGCTAATTTAAAACATTTTGGTATTCTCTTCTGCCTTTAGTGTGAAGATGATCTCCCTAACAGCCAGAAGGGTACAACTGAAATAGCACCTGAACATGGACTAGAAGACAGAGTAGATGTTAGATACCTTCAGTGGTTAAATGGGAGGCTGAGGTTCCAGTGGCGGAGTTTGCATGCTCAGCACCAAGAGCTTTGCAAACTTTTGCACAAGGTAAATGATTCTTCTAACTCACTATGGCATTGTTTATTATTTAAAAGCCTCGTCAGCTAGTGCTAAATGTACAAATTACTCTTGTTTGCTAGTTCTGCATTTTCTGTAGATGAAAGTAAAGTACTCTAAATATAAATACCCCACATTTCCCCAGTGGGGCAGAACCATGAGAAAATTAAGTAGGTACAGTGTTCATAAGGTTATGATTGTCGTATAAAAGTTTTCTCTTGCAGGTTGGCACATTAGTTACTTCTGCAACCACAGGCTGTCTCCATATTTCTAAGAAAATGCCCAGTAGAAGCAAGACAGAGCATTCTGGTCCCACAGACAAGAAATAGTGATTCAGAGCTATAAGTTAATCAGAAATGTGGATTTGAAATATTGAGCATGGATGTTGAAAATAATGGCAGCAAAATAAAATGGAATTTCCCATTCTGAAGTACTAGGGAACATCTGAGCGGAACCCAAAATCTACCTGCTTTTAAATCAGGAATTAATAGTGGTCTCTACATTGCTAAAACTCCAGTTCTGTTCCTATTTATGAATGATGTTTGTATGCCTGCCTGAAAATTACAGACATCTGGGAGCATCATGTCTGCTTAGGATGGAAACAGCCTGCAGTCCCAAAGTTGACGGTGATGGTGACTGCAGAGACAAATTTAAAAAAAAAAATGATTTTAAAGATTATCCTAAAAGATACTCAGTAATGTTTTCCCTGGGCCCCCTTTCTCCATTCATATCTCTTCAGGTAACATATGGACCTACTTGGTACTGTACCCAGAACCTTCACAGGAAACCTTTTTGAGACTAAGAACAGTTTTGAGAAATTTCTTCTCAGAGAACAACTCTTATCAGAAAGTTGTCAGAGTTGCAACAAGAGGGTTTTGAATGAAGATGCCTTCTTAGTTTTAATCCTGTGTCTGACAGAGCAGTGCTGAAAACTATAATGAGGTTACATTTTGTTCTTGCATGGATTGATTGCTAGAGAAGATGTCTGATTGACAGCCCTAGGGAAAGATCAGGTGCTGTGCGTGCAGCATCTAAAATAACCTTTTGCTTCTCGTTGCCCACTGCGAATGTGCTTTTCTGATCTGGGAATGAAGATAGCAATTCACTGTAAGTGCAGGTGCAGACCTTGGCTTCTGCACTGAGATTACAGACGCTGATGCTATTAGGAGAGGTGGTTTAGCGATGTAAAACTCAAATTAAATGATTGGCTTCTTCTCCCCTTGATAAGCTACCTCTATTTAAGGTATGCTGATTTTTATAGTAGGTGAGGCAAATACTTCCATAACTCATCATCAGTGCTCTGATTTATGTAGTACCTGGCAGTAACAAATCATTAGGCAGCTTCAGTACCTCAGCTTGCAGTTAATGAGACCAAGGAAGAATTAAGAGCAGGTCGAACCCGGGGCTTCGAGTAAGAGCAGAGATACTCTCAATGGTCCAGATCAGACACTGAAGTGAAGAAGAGATGTGCTGATTGGGCAACATGCTAAACTTGTTGACAGGGAAGATGATGACTTCCTGTGGGGATTGTACTCTGAAATAAACTTGGACGTTCTTTCCCCTGGGGCTATCCAAGGAAAAATGTTTTGCTAAAGTTAGGACTGTTATAGTCGGAGAAATACGAGAGACAGGTTAGTTATGCTGCAGTTCACTGGACCACAATTTCTAGAATTTAAAAGAATAAGCAGGAGGGAGAATGTGTCTCTGTTCATCCAGTTTCTGAAAGGTGCCGTAACTGCCTTTTCCAACAGTCATCACTGGACTAAACTGAAAGCATTAAGTGGTGGTGGTGGTGATTCTTTGTTCAGATTATGTTCTGCAGTGTATGTAGAGGGCTGCAATCACGGATGTATACATACGAGGATAGATTGGAGCCCAGCTTCTCCATATGTGATCACACAGTGATATTATGTATGCTGAAATATGTATGTACAACTGTGGGAGTTTTGTTCAGAGCTGTAATAAAGTGCAGTGCTATGATTTATGTTTTAGTCTGAATTAAAAGCAGGAAAATTGAAAGGTAAAAGCGTCTTAGGAAGGGACCTAACTACAGTGCCACATTAATGTTAACATTTGCAGTAACACAAAATATAACATACTTACACAACCTAACAACTGCATAAACAATAATTGAGATTTCCTGACTCTTTATAGAGAAATTGTCTGTGCTACTGCATTAATTTTAAAACTTTTAAACTAGTCTGTTAGAAGACTGAGGTGACCCAATATGACCTCTATATGAGCTGCTGCTTTTCTCATGTAAACCACAAACACAGTATGCAAGAGGCTAATAGGTGTTATGTTTTTTAATTATGCTGACGGATTTACAGAGGGCTTTCTCTACAAAATTATGTCTTTTACTCGGTCTGTTTAATAACTTAACAGGTTATGTATCTCAACTGTGGAACAGTCTTATTTACTGCTGATCACGAGCTACAATTTTTGCCAAGTAGTGGCGACACTTCCACAGATTTCATTCTGTGACTCACACAGGCTCTAAAATACCATATTCTCTATTTGGGGCTTTCTGAGAGAAACACATCACGCTTGGAAAATATGTTCTTACTCAGGAGATGACTACTTTTCCACTCCATATTTTTTTGTATGGATATTGCTACTGAGAGTAAGAATTGTACATTAAGGACTCAGCAAGAGGCTACCAAGACAGTCAAGGACTAGCTAAGTTGGGCATGACTTCCAAGAATAGGTTGAGGGAGTTGGGCTTGTTTGCTCTGGTGGAGAGGAGACTGAGGGAGAGGTCACCTAACAGCTGCCTTCAGCTCTTTGATGGGTAGTTACAAGGATGGTGGTTACAAAGATGGACCCTTGGTCTTCTCAGCAATACCAGAAGGCAAAGGGGGAGCGGCTGCTGATTATAGCTTGGCAGGTTCAGGCATATTAGCAAAAGCTTCTCTGGGATGAAGGGCAGTGTTGGAACAGCTCACCAGAGATGTTGAATGGTCTCCATCCTTGGAAGTTTCAAAGACTCACATACACAAAGCCACAAACTGCTGTTGGTGATAGTCCTTGTTAGAGCAGGAGGTAGGACTAAAGACCTCTAAAGGTCTTTTCCATTTCTGTGATTTTGTGAAAAAATACTGAATTGCTTGGGTGATCAGGGACATGTACTTTCAGGTTAGAAGTGATGAGTCATGTCTTAATGAAATAATACTGTACTGCCTGAGGAAAGGGTAAGGGAGAAGTAGGAGGGAAATGTGAGGGGGAAACAGGCAAAAATAAATAGCTGTTCTTTCTCTGAAGCACACAAATGATAACTGAACCTGATTGCTGGGGCCTGTATCTACTCTGTCCTGCCTGCAGCCACGTAAGGTTGATGGTGTGAAGTTCTACAGCAACCAGTGTAGATTTCTGAAGCTATAGCCAGTCATGTGCTGGGAATTGCTTGCTAGGTGGTCTGACTGGCTGTTCCTCTTTGCTAGTTATTCTGATGAGCTGCTTTTCAGTGACTTCAGCTCCCAAAAGGCTTGTTGAATCTTACAAGCATGCACATGTCCTGCCGTAGGAATAAGACTTCCTCAGGGAAATCTTAACCTCTCTGTTGCTGAGGAATTTTGCAGCCTGAGGCTATGAGCTATTGAATACATTAGAATGCTTCTCAACATGGACAGTTTGGCCTGCTTTGAAAGTATAATGTAGTAATATCATTATAATTCCCTTGAAATTCTCAGTGGTACATATTTACCTGATATACCTTCAAATATATGGAAGCGTGAAGGATAAATTAGCGTGTTAAGGCATGCCTCTTGGTTCCTTCTATTCTGTTTTTTCCTCTTTCTGTCAAGTGCCAGAGGAATATGTATCTGCCTGGTTTTTGATCCCTCTTGAATTCATAGGGGAGAGCAGCTGGTTTTAGTTAGGCTTTGAATTACCACTTTGCCTTAAAAAATGTGAATGAGAAGCCTTGCATAGTTTCAGAAAAACAGGTAGGAACCTGTATAGTTTAAAACTGGCATTGTTTTTTGGGTCTGTTAAATGCGCTGTGCCACAACCAGCATGTGAAAAGAAATGGTGGAACAAGTGAGTTTTTGGAAAACTGGTGGATTTCTTGTGAGTATTTTCAGCTGTTGTCCATCCACTAAAGGACTAGGACAGAAATTATACCTGAAATAAGGGAAGGTTGGATTAGGTGAGGTGAATTTTTTTAAGCAGATGAACATCTGATTGTGACCTATGCATATAAGTTAGTAGGGATAAAATGATATTAAATGGAATTCTTGATGATGGAAGAAGGGTTTAACATAATTAGCATTACCAGATCATGGTAAAATGACAATAATAGTTGTAATATGCTTGGAAACTGTAAGAGCAGGAGTTGTAGTCTGTCATGCAGTGCTGAATGCAGAGAAACACTGGAAAATACCTCTTATGAAACAAAGTGGTTTCTTGTGACTCCTCTAAGATAAACAATATAAAATAAGATGAATTAGAGTGGATTGGATTGGTTGTATCTACATATCTGATGTTGTAGTAAAAGAGTAAAGGGACAACAACTAAGACTTGATCTCTGGATAGCAGGGGGCAGAGACTGGTGCTGAGTGATTACCTCATTGTCAGTAATTTATGAGTGAGCTAAACAGCAACTGTTAGATGCATCTGTATCTTGGCATGAAGAGTCTACCGTACCTACATTTGTTAATTATATCTGTTTTGTCTTGAGATATTTGGTTTGAAAATCTTTGTTTTTTCCTAAAGCAAATTTGCCATTAGATCTCAATAGCACATTCTTTAATGCAGTAGAAGTTTTTCCTCTGCAAGTGTATGTGAACTGTCAACAGAGCTCCCTTTTCATCTTCTCTTATGTGAATTAGAGAAGCTGATCTCCCTGCAGCGTGTCTAAGCTCAAGGACATTTAGGAATTGGTACTGGAAGCTCCCCAGAAGTGATGCTCAGTGTGGGGCTGTACCTATACTCTTGTGCAAAGGTTAGTATAAGGTTAAATCAGACCTGCCTCCACCTCAGTCCATTCCAGTGCCACTAAGCGACAGCTATACATGCTCTGTCTCTCACCCTCTCACCTTCTTTTACCTTGATACTGTTTCCCTCTTTAAACCTTGTTTCATCTTCAGTATGTTGTGGTTATCACTAACAGACTGTAGAAATACAAATACGGGATTATTCCAGTATCCACTTAGTCTGGTTGCAGGGGAACACCTTATTCCTCTATTGCTACAGCTTTAGAGTGTTTTGTTTTCAGCTCTAGCTAGTGGTGCTGTTGCAACATACTTTGGAAGAGGGGCTGAAATTCATCCCTGGTGCTGGAGGCCCAAAGGTTTGGCAGCCAGAATTACGCAAGAATGCAGCAGGGAGAGGAGTGGCAAGTAGAAAGGAAGAACATTGTGTGGGGAGGTGCTCTTTTATTTTTAAACTGGCATAGCTCTGCACATGTGACAGATGGTTGTCACCAGAAGTGAGTTTTGGGAAAGGAACGCTAAAATATTCTGAAGTTTCAGGGAAGGGTTGATAATTACCTAGTGCCTGTCAACTTTAAAATAGTTGTCAATACCCAAGTGTATGATAAAGTTCATATTAGAATAAAGGAAGAAAAGCAGGAAACCTTCTCTGTCTTCTGGCAGAAATATTAATGAAATATGAGCGATTGTCTGACAAATGTGCACTGCTATCTTGTTTGGCAGCTGCAGTTATTACAGTAACAAAGGGATCAGCTCTGAATAGGAGGAATTGCTTTTTATTGTTCCCTTGACTAACTTGGGAAGCTTCTTCATCAAGTAATTGATGATACCATCACCAGTGCAGCTGGGACAAGGTCCCAGTAAGTGAAAGCCAACAATATATAGCAGCAAAAGAGAAACTTACTGTAACTAGGTAGCACTTTCTGCTTTAAAGGAAGAAATCAAAAATTATTCTGAGGGTATCCTCTACCTCTGTTAAGACTTCTGCTATCTGTCTAAATGGTTTCTCCTTTCATGCTATGCACAAGAGCATGTGTAGTGTGAGGAAAAAGACTTTAAAACAGGATGAAAAGGGAAGTCTTTCAGTTTTACTTTAGTGGCAGCAGTAGCAATTCCTATGTGTGGTTCTGGTAACAATATCAGATGGATCATTTTGTGAGATGATTGTGGTGCACAATCATATTTTTCCTGCAGGCTGTTTTAAAAAGGTCAGGTGTACTGGTGGTACTAGTTACATTTGTACTTGTCCATTGGGAGTGGGCTTGTAGCCGCTGGTTCACATCACCATTCCAATCCATGCAGCTGTTGGATGGTAGCTAATGATGTTGTTAATAATCTGGTCCTTGTACTGACAAATATATTTTAAATTAATCTATTCCAGATTCATTTATTCACTAGTGGCTCCCATATGGACCAGATCCTTGGACATTTTTCTGTCACAGAAACAGACCTTGTTAGACAACCAGAGAACTACAAGCAGGTAATGCTTCTCCTGTAATTCTTGGATGCTTAGTTATGCTTTACATTTACAATGTTCAGCAGGAGACTGTGTTCCTTGTAACATGTTTTTATCTTGGTTTCCAACAGAAATAAGGGTTTATATGTCGAATTGTAAGTTTCCTCACTTATAACTTGTATTCACCAAATGGTTTCTTCCAGTTTGATAGAACATAGACACAAAGGTATTAGGCTAAGTTTTGTAAAAACTGGTAGACAGGGAGTGGGAGAGACCTAACTGAAAGTGCCACTGAAGAAAAGGCTTGTAGAATAAAACATTCTGGATCAGTTTGCTGACTGCTGTTGTATATTACCAGTAACCACATCTGAGCAAGACAGACAGTGTGTCTGCCTGTGACTTTGCCTGAGTGGGTTGTCAGTGAGAACATGGAGAGATCTGATTTCTCTTTCTAGAAGAGCCAAAGCACATCTGATGCTAGCATTCATTACTTACAGAAATTCTACAAGTTGACTACCTTTTTGGATGGTAGTAGGGGGCTTTATTTTAGAAGCACGGAATGGTTGAGCTTGGAAGGGACCTCTGGAGATGACCTGGTCCAACCCCCCTGCTCACGTAGAGTCACCTAGAGCAGGCTGCCCGTGACCATGTCCAGGTGGCTTTTGAATATCTCCAAGGATGGAGACTCTATGGCTGCTGTGGGTGACCTGCTCCATGCTCATCCATCCACACAGTAAAAGAGTGTTTCCTTATGTGTTCAGACAAAACCTCCAAGGACAATATAATTTTTCCTAGTGTACTGTTTCACCCTTAAGTATATATTTCTGTTGGTCTCAAATACTCAGTTATCATAGATGTTTCGGTTTATTATTTAAAGTAGTACAATCCACTTGTTTTAATACAATACATTTGTTTTACAAATCAGTTTGTAAAAGTTCATGCTATGTGAAACAGAAACAAGATTGAAATTTTAAGCTTAACCCTAATAAAATCAATATTTATCAAATTTTTGCAGTCTGTTCAAATGTGTTTACTAAAAGAAGATGTTCTTGCTGCTGCTACCTTAAGAACAGAAGTGGGTATTGTAAATACTGTGCATAAACAAACTCAGAAAAGTAGATTTGAAGATGGGAGATAGTCTTATGTTCAAACCCCCTAAAGTAAAGTGCACGTTAATCTTTCATTATTGAGCGTCCTTGGATGAACGGTTCACATCAGCCTCTTGATAAGGTTTAGCTGTTTAGAACATTTCCTGGAAAATTGTTTTTCTAGAACAAATGCCTAAATCAGCTTGAGATTTCTTTTTCATTTCTGCTTCACAGTCCCCCTCCTACAGCTTGCTCAGGAGCTCAGAACACACAGCAGCACAGTCCTATGAAGCCTATAGTTTGTAGCCTTCCAGAGCCTAGCCATTGTCCGGAAAGGTCTGGTAGGATGGTACTAGAAACTTCCAGGCTGTGTAGGAGGACTTTGCAACTACCTTTTCCCAAAGCCTTACCCTGAATATATCACTGATCTGTTACAGTCAAGCATAATGATACTCCAATAAAGCCTATTTGGTTTTGACTGCGCTGCTAATGATTCATTCCAGGACCTTTCCTCCTTGTATGCTGCTCCCTTTCCTGGATGTCTGCTTCAGGTGCACTGTTCAGTGGAGGCTCAGGATAAAACGGGAAGAATCTTTTCTGTGTTTTAAACATTGTGGTTAGGTAAAGTGCTATAGTCGGGAATGTTTAGTGGTCAGCTCTGTTGCTTAGTTAAAAATCTGTGGAGTCTCCATTCCACCTTTCCCAAGGTTAAACAGCAAATACATGAAACAGAGGATAGCGCTTCAAAACAGGGGTGATTGCTGAGATGGACAGAGGCAGGGTGGCAGAAGTTGTTCTCTGCAGATAAACTATGAGTGGCCACAGTCTCCATCTCCAGTTTCTGTGTTCAATCCCAAACAGGCTCCAGCTCCAGTGCATGCGTGTTGGATATTGTTTTATATCATTTACTGCTTGAACTGGTCCAAAATTGGAATTGCTTGTCAGCATAATCACCTGTGAAATTCTTAACCTCTTGAAGCTCTTGAACCTATTCAAGAAAAGGGGTTCCTCTAAGCTGCTCTCTTGTGCCTGATTCTGAAATAAAGAGGAAAAATTGCAGGAAATCATCACAACACTTCAGTATTTTTGAGAGACTTAAAATTTTATTGTCATCATATGAGCAATCTGTGTAGTTTTTGTCTCCCCTTATCCAAAAGCAGCTTCCAGAAGTTGTATGCTCAGTATGTATGAAGAGCCTGATATAACAAGGTGGTATGGACTTAAAAAAGCAAGACTGTTTCAAGTGTCAGTTTTCCAGATGGATATAATACTCGATATACAAAGTGATGCTCCTTTGAAAAATGTACTTAAAAGCCTCTAATTTTCAAATATCTTGATAAGATTAAGTAAATGATGCATATTTGAATAGCTTGGTTTTCAAATATTGGTGCAGATGGCAGCACTCTGCCAAATGTTTTTTCCAAAAACTGTGAAATAATATTTTTTTCTTTAAGTAATGTGACATTTCTGTTAATGTTACTTCAAATAACAACCTGCTGTGTGGATCAATAAAAAGAGCAAGCATGTCAATATGTCTTACTGTAATGCACCCCTGTTGGTGGATGGTGTTATGAATTCCTTCTCATGTTAGGCATCCTTCAAAGGATAGAAATGCAAAGTGGATCAAAGTGTCAAAAGTTAGCTATCACAGAAAGGGCGTTAGGCTGTTTTTATTGAAGCCCAGAGTTAATTTTTATCAAAAATATCTTGTGAGACAAGTTGCTCTGACCTGTAATAAAACAGGAGATGTTTAGTCTGTCAGGAAAAGTGTGATAGGGTGCAGATAGTTGTGAAGTTTATGAAATGGAAAAGTCATGCTTTTCTATAGAAGTTGCACATTAACTTGTTTAAAATGTTCTTCCCTTGAATTTCTGACTATAAAACTCTTAGTGCTTTTATGTACAGGGATTTTACTGGACATTATTATTCCTTTATCATCATAAATGTCTTTGTCAGATTCATAGAGCTGGAAGTTTTCCAAGTGTAATAGTTTTAATTGTGTTTTTCTCCAGTGAGGCATAATTGAAATTCCAACTTTTCCTGCGGTTTGGCTTGGCTGTGGTTATATAGATGTGTGTGGCTGTGAGTTGCAGGTCACCGCTGTGTTTAGTTCCTGTGCTGCCCTGGGATGTCAGTGAATGGGAGGTGATGTTATTTCAGCTGGTACTCAATTTCCAGTTGAAGTACATGTGCATGCTCATGTTAGCTCTTGACCTCTAAATGTATTTCCTTTCTTTCCCAAGATGCTGTCGTGTCTTTTTGAGCACTCGCTGGCTTGCAGAGTGTGCATGAGAAATACGCTGGTGGTCATTTTCTCAGCAGGAGTGCCGCAGTCAGCGGTGATGGTTGTGGAGCTGTTTGTCTGCGAGGCCGTGCTGGAGTGTGCAAATGGTGAGCAGTTACAGCAGCGTGCAACAGCCTGTGCGTTGATAGGGAGCGATTGTGTCTTTTCTTGAACACCTCTTACATGTATGACTTAAGAGTGTGCTAGAGCATAGTCTAGAGCATTTGAATGTCTTGTGTTTTGGCATGTTTTCCAAGATGTAAAGGCACTGCTTGTTTTTAAATGGTTCCCCTAATCAACTGGTGTGGGGCTGCTGTTATTTGGGAGCCTGAAATACCTCAGGGCAGAAATGGAGTTCTGGTCTCTGGCACTGTGGCTGAAATAGTTTTGAAGCATACTGGGCAGAGCACGCAGAAGAGGTGGCTTACCCTTAGCCACATCTGCCCCAAACCTTCCAGGGCACTATGGTCTATCTCTGAGGATGTGGTCACATTCCTCTTGTGACTGTGAGGACGGTGGTGGTGACATGTGACCAACTGAGTAGTTTTTCATAATTGTGAGCATAAGGTAATCCCATTCTTGTCTATGAAACTCATTTACCTTAATTCTACATTGCAGTGTCACCAGTTCTGATGTTTTACCTTGACCTTGAAAAAATGTATGTTGCACTTGAGTCATGAAAATAACTTTCTCACCAAATTGTTACCATATAGAGATCCATGAACTTTCAAGCAAAGCTGCCTAGTCCTTCGGCTTCTTCTGTCTCTTCATATACTGCTTTATACGTAGAATTCAATCTTGCAGTTTTGTGATTAGCAAAGATTAAAAGTTGTAGTCAGAACTCAGGTCACTGTTGCAATGCTGGCAGTGGTGGAGTGATCACTGAAATTGTAATGAGTAAAGATGACACCTTTAAATGCCAGTAGATCAATTTATTGAGTGTGACAGCAAAGAAATAATGCAGCAATCTGCCAGATGGACATGCAAAGAAATTAATAGAATTTGGACGTGAATAGCTAATAATTTTGTTTCAGAATTTTATGAAAAATATTTATACTTGTTGATCATTAACCTGTTTTAAAGGGAATTACTTTGTCTTAAGGAACTAAGGTCCTTGGTAGCAAGAAAATAGGAACAAATAGTCTGTCTGACTTTGCATATATAATGTATGGTCAATTCCATGCCCATAAAAAATTCAGGTGAGCTTTAGCTCTCCAAGCAGCAGGGATTGGGTGGGGTGGGGTAGGATAGTATGGACATAGCACTGATTTGCTTTGTGGACTGTTCATGTATCAGGGAAGGAAGCCAGTGTACAGTATGTGTGTTGCTTCCTTCCGTCAGATGGGACTCCATAATTTCTTACTGGAACAGTCAAGGGGTAAATGATCAAGTTGTAAGATAAGTTGATTGTGGACCCTAAATCTTGTGGCAGTTTCCATTTAAAACATCTGTCCCAGATGGCTGTTACAGATGGGTGACACAACAGGTTTATTCTCTGTGAATAATAGCCCATGGTTTGAATTCATGCAAAAAACTAATGAGCTTCTGTTCTTTTCAGAACAAGTACATTCAGACTGGAAGCATTAGGAACAGATAGGCTTTGAATTTTCAAAAATGTTGAACATGCGTTTTCTAGTTACTTTGCATGAAAT